TAGTGGGCATTAGAGCTGGATTACGGCAGCAAGACGAAGGATAAATCAAAAGCACAAATTTGGATGAACAGTGATTTGATCTCCGAAATCATATCCATTCCATAATAGAACACTACTGATTCGGAAGGAAAATGATGGAGCGGATGTTATTGATCCCACTGTTTGAAAGAGAGATATGATCGGTGCCTGCTGCAAAATAGTTTTACCATGCAAGATAGTACGGAATCCGACTTCCGCTAAATAAATCCATTACCATTTTCTCGTCAAATTTCGATGAGCGATTGTACATCCACCTACCGTAACCCTACAGTTCTATGTCCGTTCTAACTTTCCTATGCAAAACATAAACCTTATCAGATAGAGTCTCAGTATTTCCATGGCCTGAAATTTCATGAAGGACCATTTTCAAAAAAGTCCTTTTTTTGTCTCAAAACCTCCCTTTCCAGGAAGATCAACTAAAACCTAAATGTCAGCTTTGGTTACCAAGCTATCGTGTGGAGCAAGATTATTTTATCTAGCTATAAATTCCAAACTTCTGATTTGTAGAGTTCCGCCGTTGAAATTTGCGAAAAAAAACGAGATGTCACGTCGGCAGCGTCGCATTGCAATAACTCCTTTGTACTCAAGATAACAAGAAAGAAAATTACATATTCAGAATCAGCGACAAATCTTATATATGATACTTAGATTTTCAAAATTATTGAATTTTCGCAATTCTGCTGACGTCACTGGGTGAAAGCCGAAAATGATTTATTGATAATTCAGTCAACGTCAAGCCTTAAACTATATTTTTAAGTACAGTTGCTTCTACATATGGTCATTCAAGCTTGTTACAAGTAGATTCACTTTTAGCTTGCCTCCACTGATAAAGGCAGTAAGCACCATTCAGAGTACTTTTTCCCGCAAATCTATTCATTTGGAACTTCAAGATTTGTCGAAACCTTGTACAAAATATTGTTTTACTTATTTCACGTTAAATCTTGAAAGTCTTAAAGTTGCAAACTCTGTTGCAAAAAAACTAACAAAGTGGTCCTCTGTTATCGCTTTTATGCCTATATTGGGTGGATTGGTCTAGCAGGTGTCAAATTTATACGACAGATCACAGACGCCTCTGAAAAGGACACGAAATGTAAATAAAATTATAAGTCCTCTAGATTAATAGTTCAACTTGCATCAACCTTAATTTTTAACTGGAAATCCTGCAAAATTTTAATTTTTGATTGAGTTTCTTTTAAATTCAATCAAGGAAGCAATAAGACTTATTGCTTTGCGGCTGATTCCAAAGCATCACTTTACATTCAAAAATGTTTTATTAGTCCTTCTTGTTCACATTTTTCCTCAAGCACATGTATTAAAGCTGCTGATTGACAGCAAAGGCTTAGGTCACGCTCGCCTTTGCAACCTATCCAGCAATAAGGCTTACTACATAATTACTATGTTTAAAAAACTCGTTCACATACCGTTTCCAATATTGACATATACAGATGCACAATGAATAGAAGCACTGAAATGAAAAAAAAAAATTTATATGAGGATTTGTAATTTAAAACTTCCAATCATCTCAGCACTTCTTGGCATACATTTTGAAGTAAAAGGAGTAAGAAAAGATTAATGAATGAAAGTGGTGTGGTATGGAGTCTAGTTGAAAGCAATAAAGATTTCAAGAAAAACTTGACAACAAAAATTTTAAATTTGCGGATTCCAGTTCGAAACTACAGATTGATGTATGTTGAATATTGGTGATTTGAAAGGACTCATGAATTACAGTTCGTGTGTTTGCAGGGGAACAATCAACCCAATATAGGCAATAAAGCGACAACAGAGGAAAAGTCAAATCAGTGAGAGAAAAAGTCAAATCGTTTTTATAACATAAAATATGAATTTTGTTGCAACAGAAGTATTCAAACTTCGAAACCAAAATCTCACATGTTGAAGCAAATAAAACAAAAAACAAGACCGACATTTTCTGAAATTTGAATCAAGTTCCGTGAAAAGTGATCTGAATAACTTCTACTGCCTTTATCAGTAGATGCAGAGCTTATTAAAAGTGGTTCTTATTGCAGTAACTAATCTATCATGAGTAAGAGCAACTGTACCTAAAGATATGTTTGACGACTCGACGTCGATTTTGAGTTGTCAGCAACTCCCCCTCAGCCATCACCACTGATGCCAGCAGAATTGTTAAAAATTCAACGATTTCAAAAATCAAGTATGTACCAGAGAGACTAGTGGTCACTGTTATTGAACATGTAATTTTCTTTGTTGTTTTCTCAAGTACAAAGGAGTTATGGCGATGCCCATTTCCAATGCGATATCGCGTTTTTTTTTTTTAAATTTCAACGTTGGTACCAACGTTGTATTCGCCAGTCTAACTAGATATCATTCGTCCTCATTTGTGCTCAGCAGCACTACTTCTACTTCTGAT